GACCTTGAGCATAGCAGCCTGATTTGTAACCTCTACGCTACCAGAGCTCCTTAGGAGATAGTTAAAATATTGGAGGTTTTCTTATAATATATTATGCTGTTATTGTGGCAATATGGTTAATCATATCTTCATCATGCAGTATTCCACTCTTTTTTTGGAGCATAATTCTGACCACTTAGAAGAATTAATTTTGTTCAAAGGAGATGGACACATGAGTTGACAATATAGATAGATATTCTTAGCCCTATTTCCTGGGAATGTATCTGTTGGTCTTAGAAGATGCTTTAGAATCTCCAGTTATGTCATTTAAAGTTACTTCCTTACATTGCATTTGAGTTCCTTTTAGTACATTTTTTTTTTTTTTTTTTTACTGCCATAGATCCATAAAGAGAGAGTGAAGATGATTGTTTTAAATCTACTTGTAAAGAAGTATCTATTTTGTTGCTAAATTTGGAAAACATAGAAAAAAATATGCTACTACGTCTACTCCCGTAAAGATTTACGGCCTCGGAAACCCTGTACAGGGTCGCTTTGGGTCGGAACGGACTCGACGGCACACAACAACAACAACAGGAGTCGATTCTGACTTGTTGCTGAGTAGAACTGTGCTCCATAGGGTTTTTCTTGGCTGTGGCCTTTTGGAAACAGGTCACATGAACCTATCGGTGGGTTCAAATTGTCACCCTTTTGGTTAGTCAAGCATTGAACCACTGGCACCACTCAGGGACTCCTTAAAATATGTTGTTGTTGTTAAGTGTCATTAAGTTGGTTCTGACTCACAGGGACCCTTTATATTGTTTCCAAGGAGTGGCTAGTGAGTTTGAACTGCTGACCTGTGTTTCAAACCTATCCTGCAGCTGAGTGCTTTAGTCAGCAGCACCACACACGCAATAAATGTGTTAGTATTTTCAGTGTTGCAAAGAAGAGATTACAAGGTTACAAAGGAATGACTCATTTAATCTTTTAAGAGTGGGCTTTGTTGTTGTTGTTAAGTGCCATCGAGTCGGTTCCGACCCATAGCGACCCTGTACAGGGTTTCCGAGAGTGTAGATCTTTACGGGAGTAGAAAGCCTCATCTTTCTCCTGCGGAGCGGCTGGTAGTTTCGAACTGCTGACCTTAAGGTTCGCAGCCCGATTCGTAACCACTACGCTACCAGAGCTCCTTAAGAGTGGGCTTTAGTGCAAGGAAAACAGCAAGAGGTATGCTCAGGCCTTGACTGTTCTGGTGTCTGTGATCTTCCCCTAGGCCCATCATCACACTTCTGTTCCATTGTTTGCTTCTCATTTCCAACTATTCCATACTTGGTGAAACATCCTTAATGTTCAGCCTATGATTCTTATCTGGATCCGGTCTAGCCTGGCACCATTCTTTTGGCTCTAGGCCTAAGGTTTTTATAAACCTCTAGGTATTACTCCATGGCACACAGCCACCATCACTACCACCACCAGGTATTACTTGAGGCTACATTTCTCTGCACTTAATAGAGTTTTGAGTAGAAGTGTTACTGGTAGTTTATTTTGAGACTTTTCATACTGTCCCAGAAAAGTTCACAAATAACCCTCCTTTTTCAAGGAGAAAATTACCTTCATGGTCAGCAAATGGGGTGATAGAATTGGTTAGTGGAGGGGCAGGGTGTGTGGGTTCGTGTGGACAAAGAATTTGGGATAAGAACCATTTGTAGAGTTAGTTTGCTTTTGTGCTTGTTTTGTGTTCTTTGTGGGATGAGCCACATTTCTACTGTAAGAAGTATGTCCTATCCCTCAGGTGTAGTAGGGAAGGAACACTGAGATGCAATGATCTAGGAAATGTCCTTCAACATGAAGACATTAGAAGATGTTTCTAACTTGCATAAATACTAGTCTATTCACTGTATAAAACGTTTCATCTGTTAAGTAACTTCAACACATGTATACTCTTCATGAAGGTGCTAGTAACTACAGAATAATTCCCATTTTAAGTGTTTGGCAGTTGTAGAATGAAGAAATAATTAAATGGACAGAACAACTGAATTTACACAGACTTTCTCTTTTTGTGACAGATGCTGGTATGTTTTCATGAAAATGAAAATATTCATTTTTGCAAATGCCATCAATCTTTAACAATCAAAAATTCATTTGGCAATAAAAGTGGTAGTTATACAGAATTGTAATTATTGTTACATTGTATTGTTTACTGTAAACCTGGTTCAATATTGGTAAATATAATGTAGCAGAAACTGAACTATCTGGGCATCCATTCAAAATACCATTAAAAATACTGCCTCAAACCAGTTTGGGTTTATGAGTAATATTTTGTTAACAGCTCAACTAAAATTGAACCACATGGTGTAGCTTAAAATTTTTGAATCTACAGATAATCAGAGTAGTATAAGTTCCTACTGTACACTCAGTATTCTATATGTGAGCGATACATTTATGTATAGTTTTACTAATCTTTAAGTATAAATAAATGCTTAATATGATCTTATATCTTTAACGTTTACTTAATACTATAATTTGCTGTGCATTTAATTGCCTTAGTAACTAAAATATTATTAGTTTAACAATCAAACCTAGATAATAAGGAGAGGTTACTGAGCAAATATTCAAATGTCCCTTCAGCATAGCTTTAGGCATGTGCCGTTGAGTCGGTTCTGACTGCATAGCAACCTTGTATAGGGTTTGTAAAGCTGAAAATTTTTGTGGCACAGAGTCTCATCTTTTTTAACAGAGTGACTTCTAGGCTCTCATTGCTGACCTTGTGGTTCTTGTTGTTGTTGTTAAGTGCCGTCAAGTCAGTTTTGACTCATAGCAATCCTATATAGGGTTTCCAAGGAGCAGCTGGTGAGCTTGAACCACTGACCTTGCAGTTCAAACCAGCTTTGCAGTCCATTGCATTAACCCACAGTGTCACACCAGGTTCTTGGTCCAGTGCTAATCCTACAGAGCCACTGCTCTCTCTCCCCGCTTTAGGCAAATGGTGTGTAAATAGCTATGATTTATATTAACACTATACCAAAAAATATTGAAGGATGTAAGTTGTTAAAAGATTAATTAATTTTGCTTGTGAAAGATAATTATAGCTTAAAATAGGACATGGAGGTTATTAATGTTTGGTTGTAAATCATTAGTTATTTTAGGTATAACAAAGGGCTTGAGGTTATGATAAGTTAAACGATTCAAGATAAAATCCTTATTTAGATGTTTCTTGTCAAGAAAAGATATATTGGACTTTTGTCCTTTTGTTTATGTACTATTTTAATTTGGTAAAAGTGTTTTATGAATATACGCATATGTTCATGACATATATTCCTATATATGAATTTTCATTGAGAGGATATGAGAAAGGCTGGGTTTTGTGTCTCTGCTGTTATGGGATAAAGGAAAAGGTATGTAGTATTTAAAGAATACGTTTCAAAGATCTCTTTTCTCAATCAATGTTTTATTCATTTTCTAGGTTAGCACTCTACGTATATGAATATCTGCTCCATGTAGGAGCTCAGAAATCTGCTCAAACATTTTTATCAGAGGTATGTTTTATATATTTTCTGTATTGCATTTTGAAACAGTTATTTGAAACATCAGATCATTACACATTATATAGTGAATGCTCAGTTATCGGTATGCATAATACAGTCTTTATAGATGATTTGGAATCATTTTTAATATTGCAAAGTATCTTTTCCATGTCACTCAACAACCTCCTCTACTTTTCAACTTTTTTTTTTCTTACTCCTTAGAAATGAAAGCTAATATTAGACTTGGCAATAGTTATTAAAAATTTGTTATAATAAAAGAACAAACCAAAATACCAAACCACTATAACTCTAGTTCTAGCAATATCTTATTTTGGCACTATTCACAATTTTATAAAATGTGTTTTGTTTCTTTTGCTTTGGGTATGGATAATAGTTCATAGATGACTGGATTTCAGTTAGAAAACATTTTGATAATCGAAATAAGTTATTTCAAGTTTTTGTTTTGCTTTCTATTATTCTCCTTCACGCTTTTTAAAGTGTTAAATTGGAGCTTTATTGCAGTGATACTTTTGCATCTAGATGATGTCTAGATAATGGTGATGAGAATGATAATTATTTTTAGTTGAGTCCTATTATGTGCTAGGCAGGATGGTTTATATATATTATCATATGTGTTATCTCTAATTCTTATAAGATATTTATAAAGCAGGTGGTATTATTCTTGTTTTATTGATGAGAAAAAGTAGACTCAGATAATTTTATTAACTGGATCATGGTCATACAGCTCAGTGAATAATGGAATTAGAATTTAAACCAGGTCCATGTTAAATTTAATACCCTTGGTTTTACTTGTATATCTGTGCTGTCCAATATGCTTTGCACTAATAATACATGTATTTTGAGCACTTGAAATGTTAACTAGTTTGAACCCAGAAGTATTCTAAATGTTACCTAACATACTGAATTTTAAAGAAAGTATGAAAAGAATATGAGTTATCATCCATTTAAAAAATTTTTGGTCATATAAGAAATAATATATTAGATATATTGAGCTGAATAAGATATATTCCTAACTTCAGTATTTCCTGTAAAGAAGACTCAGGAGCCTTGGTAGCATAACAGATTATGGGTTGGACTGCTAACTACAAGGTCAGCAGTTCAAATCCAACAGCTGCTCCACAGGAGAAATATGAGACTTTCTGCTCTCATAAAGATTTACAGACTCGAACACCCTGTATAGGGTCACTGTTTGGGGCTGACTTGAGGATACACAGCAGCAGTAGCAGCATAAGGAAAATCAGTCAATACAACGATTATTTAAATGTATATACTTACCACTGACCCAAAGATGAGGAAACTGAAGATTTTTACTGATGTCTGCAGTCTGTAATTGATGAAACATGCATTCAAGCTGCACTGATAATTATTGGTGAACTGGAAACATAAAGAAGGATCAGTAGGTGGAGAATGTGACACTGGTGATAGAATCTGGAGATCCCATTATAGGATTTTACAAGACCAAAGACTTATTCATTGGAAATAACCTTTTAACAGTAACATAAACAGCAACTATACATGTGGACCTTACCACTTGGAATGCATAGGAATCAAATAAAGAAGATCAAAAGAATAAAAGAGAAACTCAATACGATCAGTCAGAATAAGGCCAGTGGCTGACTGCAAAACAGACCATCCATTGTTCATAAGCAAGGTGAAGGTAAAGTTGAAGAGAATTAAAGTAAGTTCACAAGAGTCAGAGTACAACCCACCTGAATTTAGAGACCGTCTCAAGAATAGATTTGATACGTTGAATATGTCAAATGAGTAATCAGTTAAGTTGTGGGACGACATCAAGGATATCATACATGAAAGCAAAATGCTGTTAAAAAGACAGGAAAGAAAGAAAAGACCAAAATGGACGCCAGAAGAGACTCTGAAAAGCAAACAGAACAAATGATGATGTTAAAAATCTGAACAGAAGATTCCAAAAGCTGTCTAGAGAAAACAAAGTAGAACATTATAATAAAATGTGAAAACACCTGGAGTTAGAAAACCAAAAGAGAATGAAGCCAGCATTTCTCAAACAGAAAGAACCAAAGAACAAATTCAAGCCTGGAGTTGCAATGTTGATGGTTCAATGGTAGCATTCTTGCCTTCTATACAGGTGTCCCTGGTTCAATTCCTGATTCAATGCCCTCCTGCACAGCCACGGCCCCTTTCCCACTACATGCCATTGGTCAAATGCATGTGATTATCATGCAGAACATGTTTCAACAGACCTTTCAGACTCAGTTGTATTAGGAATAAAGACTTGACAATGTACTTCTGAAAATCAGCCAATGAAAACCTTGTGGGTCACAGTGGTTCTTATCATAACCCTATGCTGGAAAGATTGTGGGAACGCTGCAGTAACAGGTATTATTCCCTTCTATTTTACCATAGTGTCACCTTGAGTTGTGGACTAACTCAGTGGTAGCTAACAGCAGCAAAATGGACTATGGAGTTATTAAAATTTTACTTAAACACAGTTGAAAACATAATGAAACTTGGTGGAAGGATGAGCTGATCTTTTTCATTGGATCAAGGACCATGGGAATTCTCAAGACTTGTTTTTTTCTTACCATAATTAGAGTATGTCAGTTACAGTGATTGTTAAATTTCATCAAAAAGAATAAAATGTTACTGATTTGTTTAAGGAAGATCAGATATTTGGATTCAAATGGGTTCTGTAGATTGAACAGATAACTAGATATTTTACTCATGCCCTGAGCTCAATGGAATAATGCCTATATAAACTGTTTAGGGTTACTTGGTAGAAAACAAATTACAAATTGAGAAGAGATGCACACACTTTGACAAGTATTCACTATGATTTTATCTTCTATGGCTTCATTTGGAATACAAATCTGAGGATTTTTATGAATTTTCAGCCTGACTCAGTTTTACAAGAGGAATCATCAACTGAACTGTAAAGCAAATTATTGTCAACAATAAGGCACATTGTTTCTGGATGTTGAAGACAAGTATATGTGATTCCAAGAATTATTCTTCACTTTCTAATTTGCCAAAGAATATATTCTCATCACTTAAATTCACCTTATAGGCAAATGTTAAATTAATTGAGGTATATGTTTACCATTGTTGTTGTTATTGTTAAGTGCTGCACAGTCAGTTCTGACTCATAACATAGGTTTTCTGAGGAGCAGATGGAGAATTTGAACCACCGACCTTGTGGTCCAAACCGACCTTGAGGTCCAGTGCTTATCCTACAGCGCCACTGTAAAACAAAAACTTAGATTTAATTGAACTTACATGGATAGTCTTACAAAATATTGTGTAGCAAAAGAAGCAAACTAAACTGTGCCATTTATATGGAACTCCTTTAAACAGAAAGCAATACTATGTGCTTTAAGGGGTACACATTCATGAATATAAAGTATAGTAAAATGTCTGAAAGAATATGCATACTAGACTGGTTACTTGGCTTTTAAAAAATATTATTTTTGATTATGAATTGGATGAAGGTTGACAGGAAAGATGATCAGTTTTACATTTAACCGTTCATAGACATTTTGCTTCATCTCTTTGTTTATAATCCTCACAATGTAATTTCATATTTCCTCCCTGTGCTACCTGTTTCCATTCCTCCTGAACTGTATCTTTGAATAAATGCTGCCCTTCTGATCTCAAATGGTTCATTATTCTAAGGTGTGTGTCACTCACTAGTGTCACTGTTCTCCTTATAGACCATATAGACCTGTCTATTATTTGACTGAAAATTGAGTCATGGGGTAGAGTTCAGTTTCAGACCTCAAGTGTGACTAAAGGCCATAGTCTTGGAGGTGTCACTAGACTTTATCTGACCAGTAAGCCTGGTCTGTTTTGAGTTTTGTTTCATATTTTCTTTGACCATCTAACGAGATCCTTTTAAGAGCAACTGTACTGGCAGCTGGGCCCATCTAGTTCTTCTAGTCTGCGGATTGTGGAGACTGATGTTTCCATCGTTAATTAGTGGTGGTGGTTCCGTCTCAGAGCAACCCTGTACAGGGTTTCCGAGGCTGTAAATCTTTACGGGAGCAGAAAGCCTCATCTTTCTCCCGCGGAACTGATGGTAGTTTAAAACTGCTGACCTTGCAGTTTGTAGCCCGTTTCATAACCGCTACGCTATCAGAGCTCCTTATGGTTCATTAGTACATTGAGCTAATTTTTTTTATGCGTCGTTGATTTTCATCACTCTTCTTTTCTGTGGACAGTTGCTGTTGTTGTTAAGTTCCTGCAAGTCAGTTCTGATTTATAGTGAGCCTGTATAGTTTCCAAGGAGCAGTTGGTGGGTTTGAACCATATAACTTGTGGTTCATAGTTTAGTTCTTATCCTACAACATCACACAAAGAGTCCTCTCTAGACAGGGAGAGACCAATAGTTGTACCTTGGTGGTTGGTCGTTGTGTATCATGGAGTTGGTTCCTATTCATAATGCATCTGTACAGGGTTTCCGAGGCTACAAATCTTTACAGGAGCAGAAAGCCTCATCTTTCTCCCATGGAACAGCTGGTAGTTTTGAACGTCTGTCACTGAGGTTAACAGAATGATTTGTAACCACTACGCTAGAGATGGCTGCTAATGAACTTTTAAGACCATAGTCAGTACTTAACAAAGAAGGATATATAGAACATTGTATTTGTGGTCTGTGTTATACCAGTTGAATTTGGTGTCCCCTGAGACCATGGTCCTGAGTCCCCAGACCCCACAACTCATCCCCTCAGGTGTTTGGTAATGTTTAAGAAATTTTCATAACTTTGCTCCCTGCACATTCATGGATATATTTGCAGGAAAGCAAAATACCCATAGAAAAATATCCTCTGTCAAGCATATATGTATATATGTATTTGTGGGTGTAGTCCCACTTTCCCTCCCACACCTGTTCAGTCAGCATGTCTATTCATGCATCTACTTGGAGATCACCATTATTGCAGGGTTGTATATATAATAATATTTACCTATGTTGCCTTTCACTCTTGCACTCCTCCTGGCATCTTCCCATGATGCCCTCA